GGAACCATGTACCTTTTTCTTAGTACCAAATGCAAGGGGTGGGGGACGAGGAGGAGGAGAAAGGGGTGGGGGACGAGGAGGGGGATGGGGGAGTAGAACAGAGAGGTGGGCAGAGAACGGGGAGGAGGAGGAGAAGGTGGCAGAGGAACAGGGGCAGGAGGAGCAGGTGTGCGCGGCAGGCGTAGCCGCGGTTGGCATCCGCTTGTCGGGAATAAATAACTGCTGTCAAGTGTTGTTAGATTCAGTGCTAAAGTGCATGCATGAGCTTTGACTGAAGTGTAATACATACCTGGCACAGGCTGGCAGTTTTCAGTGTGTCGGATGTGAACTAGAGAGGTAAGAAGGAATGGAAGTGGGTCACTGATAACGAGGGAGAAAGAGGAGGTGGTGTACAGGTGTTGTTCAGGAGGCGAAATTTGTACGAGCTAACGAGGAATAAAATTAGGACACTGATAGAGAGGGAGGAAGAGTAGGAGGTGAGGAACATAGACAAAGTTTTAAGAGGGATGTGGTGTACAGGTGTTGTTCGCTTCTATGTTCTAACAACGGAGTGTGTAATCAGGTGGTGGTGGTTAGTTCGGGAGGCTAAATTTCTTTTGGTATGGAGTGGGGAGTTGAACTAGATAGTGAAACTGATTTTGGACGTGGCGACTGTTGGGGATGATGGGGATGAGGGAGGAAAAGGAGGATGGAGGACGTGGGAGAACGCGGCGGCGGATTTGGTGGGTCGGCACTGCATTTTTTCCTTCTGCGCAGGTTGGGCGCCATATTTGGGGGGCAGGGTCAGGTGCCACTGCGAAGGGAGGAGGAGGAGAAAAAGGGTGGAGGAGCAAGAGGAGGAGACAAAGGAAGAGGCAGACGAGGGAGGGAAGAGCAGGAGCAGGATGGCAGAGCAGAAAAAGCGGAGGTGGAGAAGAAGGCACGGAGGAGGAGAAAAGCGAGGAGAGAACAAAAAGAAGACAAAGATGACATGTGACAGCGCCACGTGGTGCACTGTCATGCTCCCCACCGTCACCCCTTATACTGTTGGTCGACTTTGCGACTCATGCAACTCATCCTTGCACAGCGCCCCATACTCTACTGGGACGGCCACTGTGTCTAGTCATATGGCTTGGCAGTTGGTGCAGACCCTGCCCAGAATGCGAGTTCACACAGGGCGTGGTCGGGGTGGACCACAGCACAAAGAATCCCTACTGGCGGGGCTCCAGCAGCCCCGCTTGATTTTATGTGAAATTCCGGTACTATTCTCTGAAGCTGACAACCAAAAGTGGAATTCGGGGTGTTATCAGATGTTGGGATTCAACTACCAGCACAGCACGGTTGGATGTCAGGGGCACAGCATTGCGCCTGCCTGTAGCAACTGTAAAAGAAAGACAGATGTCTGTGTGATGCGTACATGCAAGCTGCGATCTGGGCTATGGTCTCTTTGATGCACATACAGGACGACCTACCAACCAGCAAGGAGGACCTATGAGATGATGTATGTTTTTGCAAACAGATATGATCATATTATTATGGTTTTCTTGTTGACTGTCATCTTTAATATCATTTGTCCCTGGGGTGTTTTCTCTCTGGCATGTATATGCTGCTCTTGCTCAGTGGACGTTTGCTGCCTGCTGCTTGTAGCTGCCCGTGCTCAGTAGACATTTGCTGCCTGCCTGCTGCCTGATGACCACTGGTCAGTGAAAGCATGCAATGTCTGCTCCCAGTCCACTAGCTACCCCACACCATTTGCCTATGTTCTGACACGCACCACCAGTCCACGAGCAAGGTGAGCTGGTTAACACGGTCGTCGCTTTTTGGATGTATGAGTTGTCCTAATTAAATTCATTCAGGATGAAAAAGCTGTCAGAGGTCCCGCATGCAGATTGTTAAGGAAAGTAAATGGTTAACATGTTGTGGTTGGTTTCGTGGATGTGGAAGACACTGGAGTTTTCAGAACTTGCCATTGTGAAGGATGATTCACTAAATGAAATCCGGATACACTGTGATGGGGGGAGATGCTGCCGGCCTCTGTTTACTGTTGGTGATGAGGATCTAAACATGAAGAAGGATCATGTTGAAAAGCTCCGAGTGGTGAGTATCCATTGGCAAATTGGATTGTGAGATTTAATCCGATCAGACTCTTGTACTCTCTGATGACATTCTTCTTTTCTTCTCCTCATTGTGCTAACGCTCAAGAATTGTAGCCTCGCTATGCTTATCGACTCCTTTCTACTGACGGGGAGCTGCACCTGCTCGAAACCAGCCCCAGTGTACCATATTTACCCACCCATAGTTAATTAGAACCATACTTCCAGCACACCTTTGCTGTACGCCGTGTGCCGTGGGGTGCGTGCGCTGCTGCGCGCGGGACTGTGCGCACCACACACACAGCTGGGTTGCGCGCGACTGCATCGAGTGTGCGCACACTTCTTCATGGAGAACCGCGTGTCGTCTACACGAATGTAAACAAGCGATGTTTTTTTTGTGTGTATGTGTGTGTGTGTGTGGTGCGCATACTCCCGCATGTACTGTCAGAAGTAAATGCACCCTAAATGCACACACACACACACACACACATACAAGACAAAGCATGTACTGTCAGAAGTAAATGCACCTTAAATGCACCCTCATTATGACTGCATGGAATCTGAGGGATCCCTAGTACTCTCAGAGAAAGAGAGAGCAAGGTGAAGGCGACTTCGTGAACTGTATCTGGGAAGTGGCCGTTGCAGACACCCACACCCACACCCACACCCACACCCACACCCACACCCACACCCACACACACACACACACACCCACACCCACACACACACACACACACACACACACACACACACACACACACACACACANAGAGAGAGAGAGAGAGAGAGAGAGAGAGAGAGAGAGAGAGGCAACGGCCACTTCACAAATGCAGTTGATGAAGTGGCCCCTCTCTCTCTCTCTGAACGTTTAAGGGATCTTTCAGATTTAGTGCGGGCGGCTTGCGCTCAACTCCATCATTGTGGCAAACCTTGCACGCGGGGAAGAAAATGATCAAAGAATGGTTTTCAGTGTTGCTCTTCATAATAAGTTCATATTCATCCTGTGTATTTTTATCGTTTGTTAACTTTGTTTTGCAAAGCCTTTGTTAGTTGAAGAATATCTGAATATGTGACAGTATAGTGTCAGTTTTGATACAGTCATAATGAGGATCTGTGGTGTCCCACGATCTCGGACCTGAAATAACACAATGCCCCCTCCTTTTGACGATATCGGGCCTGGAGGGTTAAGGGCAACTTCAGTGTGCGATTCCTGTGATTCGCCGAATAAACTCTTTTGTATTGTTAGGGAAACAAGTGAACCCGGTGTGGTGACTCCGCGCCCCAAGTCCAGTCCTGCCTACACAGTGCAGGTTTGGATCGGGTGGCCCCATGTGGAACACGGGTACGTGGGCGCTGTGTGGTGGAGTGCACCCTCTCTCTCTAACCCCCCCCCTCCTTTTACGTGCAAATTTTCCATGTTATACCAGAAGATTCATCTCATTTTCCACTCCTAGACCGCACACACAGATATAAGAGGAAAAACGATGTTGTGCAGGCGCGCTGTGTACTTGTATTCAAACATGCGGCCCCGCCCTGCCCACGACCCGCACGGTTACACTCCCAAGCTCCAGACCCCGGCCCGCCCCCCAAAACAACAAAAAAAAAAGCATATTGCCTAGCATACGGCCCTTGGAAGTGAAAAAATGAAATGCGTTGAAACTTCCCGAATTGCAAAAAGTAATGCATGGCGGGCATCCCTTTGGAGGCCAGGGTGCTGCAGCCACGAGTTTCGCGTGGGCCCGTCACGCGAGACCGGCTTCTGCTTTTACGAGGACTAACAGAGCAACTGCGAGAACTAACCGTTTACCATTGCACAAGATACACTCGCAAGGACTGTACTGGATCTGATAGATAGCTTGTATATCCAACACCGCACATACAGACACAAGGAAAAATTATTGGGGCTGCTGTTCCCCGCAGCCCTGAGTTTTTTTCTTTTCTTGCCAACCTGTGTTTTTATAATTGGAGAGGTGGGGTGCTCACGGACGCCCTGCCCCTCCGCATTTTTTCACCACCTGTTTATGGCCGTGTGCATAGAGTGTGCTCACACAGTGTGGTGCGCACTGTGCAGTGTGCGCCGCATGGGTGACTTTTGCGTACTGTCCGTCGCATGGGCACGACTTGTGGGCACTGGATGCGCCGGAAGTATGGTTGAAATTAATTTGTGCTAGTCTTTAACACTAGTTCACAGGAGTCTGCTGAAGTTACCTTTCAAGGCGCACGAGCCTACGAGCTGTCCAACTGGGACTTCGTAGTCGCCTTCTGCGTCCAGCACTGGCCCAGGCTCGAATCATAGAGCTCTTACCAGGTATACCCGCAAGAGCCCAACTTAGGCTTGGGTCGATTGGTCGATTGGTGGTTTAATTGTGCACTGGTATGCAATATTCTGTGTCACTGTCATCCAACCCTGGCCACGTTGGGAGCAATCACATGCGGAAAGCGGGTGATGCATTACAATGCTGCTCCAGATGAATCTCATGAATTTGTTTACTTCTGCCATGCTGTAAATAAAGATCAAATTTTCCAATAGTCTAAAGTATTGGTTACTCCCTTCACATCTACCTCCAAAGTTGTATTAGCTGCAGTTATCACGTGCGAAGTTGTGTTTACCACAGTGAAAGTCGGGTAGTTGATGTTGTGTTTACCCCATCGACAATGTTCATATTCACACCTTCACCATTTGTTACTGTATCTCACCTCTTCTTGCTGTTTTGGGCCATCTGTTTACTGTCTAATAGTGTCTATACTTGTGTGTTTGTAATTGCAGGGTGAGATGAAATGGAGTCGTTTGGTCAAAGAGGGGCTGGTCGAGTACATCGATGCAGAGGAGGAGGAAACTGCAATGATTGCGATGCGTGTAGCTGTAAGATTCGATTCTCACCTTTCCCTTTACTGGTTCTCCTGTAGACTTGTAGTCGTAAGTTTTCTGGGGAGTGTTTGCTGAACTTTCCTCTCTATCACACACTTGTAGTTCTGCATTTTTTTTCGTTTGTTCGACTTTGTTGTTTTTTTTTCTTGTTAAGTTGTTAACACAGTTGACAAAAAAAAAAAGGGTTGGTTGTAGGTTCTTTTTTTTTCAAAAAGAAAAAGGTCGACGGCCTTGATAATGCAGAAATTCTCATGTCTGTGTTTCAATTTTCAACAGTTCATGGATGTACCGACTGAGCTAGGTCCATTGGTAGTAGGTAGTAGTTGGGGGATATCTGTGTATCATGCTATCATCCTTGCTCATGGCTTGTCTTCCCTTTGGGAGTTCAGATCACAGCTTCCTGCCTAATGTTGCAGGGTTAGAATCGTACAAAACTTATCACTCAAAGATTTAATTGGTTGAACGACGAGATCCTTTAAATCCCACTGAACCAGAAGAGGACCAAGATTTGGTATCTCCAAAAGAATCTGTTATGGTAATGGAGGGGGGGGGGAAGTGTGTGTGGTGTGAACGAGCACTCGTGTGCACACACTGCGGGACTGTTGACTGAAGAATTTGAATGTGCCTCTCATTATGAAGACCCAGAAGATTCTGTATTTATTAAATTATCAGAAAATGCTGCACTCCTAATTAGTTTATCATTTTCTAACTTTCTATGCAAAAAATTGAAAGTGCTGGTGCAATGTGGTGGAACTTAGCAGGGAAAGAAATGAAACACGCCCAACCTCTAGGTAAGATCGCAGCAAGACTTCTCCGCACATTGGAAAACGTTTTTGGTCTCTTGTGAAGAGATTTTGTGAAAGTTTGGAAGTCAGGAATGGCTAGCAGCATCGCAAGTTGAGCTGCATCGTCAATTTGGTGAGGGTAGTGGTTTTTCAAATGCATATTGATATGATTTATTGTGTTCACAGGATCTTTCACGAAGAATCAGTGAATCCCCTGATTGCCGCTACACACATTGTGAGATACATCCTGCAATGATCCTTGGAGCATTAGCTTCTCTTATTCCTTTTCCAAATCACAATCAGGTTCGTATTTTTTGTTACTATTTCCCTTTCTTCTCCTGTCTGTCCTTCCCTCCTTCCCTCTGTTCATCTCTTCTTATTGTGTCACTCCGTTCTCCTCCCTTCCTCCCTCCCTTCTCCCGGCTTTCTTCCCTCTATTCGTCCTTCCCTTACTGTCTCGCTTCCTCCGTTTGCTCACCCGGACCTCTAGAGCATTTCTTACCTCCCTTCACATCGTGCTTCCCTTGGAGCATAGAGCACGGAACGAAAAGGTTGGCAGGCAGGGAAAAAAAGTTTACTAGTGCGGAATGGAGGGAGCAGGCGAGTATGCGGGGAATGGTTTTTGAACTTTCTGTCCTTGGGGATATAAACAAGGGAAAGGGAAGCTCCAAAAGTATTATGCATTCTGGAGCCCATGATCATACTTCGGGACGCCTGCGGGGTTTGCAGTACTTGAGTGTGTGTGTGTGTGTGTGTGTGTGTGTGTGTGTGTGTGTGTGTGTGTGAGAGAGAGAGAGAGAGAGAGAGAGAGAGAGAGAGAGAGAGAG